AGTTGCAAGAATTTTAAATATTTCCTCATAAGAGAAATTGTAATTGTCTATTAATATTGTAGACTAATCTTCCTGACAAATGTCCTTATATCTGCTCACAACTATACACAGTAGTAGTACAAATAGTGTGTTAGAAACCATTTATTTAACAACTATATAGTACTTAAAACATAATTGCAAAACAGGGAGGTTTAAAGTACCAGTGCTATCTTTCAACAGTTTAAACTAAATGGATTATTTGACAATTTATAAAACCTTCCACTGAACAAATGAGAGAAATAATGTGATTATAATAATGATATTAGGATTAGAGATGAAATTATGTTAATCTGAAATACTCCACCTGGTCGAAAATGTGTGTTTGTAAGGAACGGACGGTGATAATGCAGGTCAAAATGTATCTTGCTACAACAAATCAATTAGATGTCACGGAGATATTTTAATTGAATAATTCAAGTGGAGTACAGTTTCTCTGTAAATTGTATTGCATTTTTAGTTTCTTTCAATTGTAACAGTTTTGAATTTTTGCATCCTTTTCATGTTTTTTAGACAGCCTCACTTAGTGCTTTTGTTTTTAACATCTTGACACACATGGCAGACCTTCTGCAGGGGCATGCCTGGGGCATACTGAGGCATTGATGTGTTTGCTGTGTTGCACCCGAAAATCAACGTGTTTGTAAAATTCGAATTGCATTGCTAAAATCCCATCGTCTCGTATGTTTGATTTAGTCTATATTCTACTGTATATTTTCAGAGTTAATCAAGTTTAATTTATCAAAACACCAAATAATATTTATCTGCTACACAAATGCTATTAGAGACATAAATTGTGTATTCAATCAAAATAAATAAAAATTTAAATGAGAATATAATTTCCCAAGTGCCTCTCTCTACTATCAAATCAAATGAGCACTCAATACATGTTACACTTAAATACACTAAGCGCATGCTTTACCACTTATTTAATAATATTGTTTTAATACTCTGCAGGCGTTCATGTAGGAAAAGGCTAAATACTCAAACAAATTGCAACTTATACATCCCTCCGCCACAGAATTATCTCATTGCAAGGAAAGATGAAGATAATTGGTGATTTTATACACACAAGCATTGCTGGTAGGCTAAAGGGCCATGATGTGACCAGCACAGGTCACAAATCTGTCTTAATGTTTAGATGTATAGCCTATACAGGCTAAATGACACACAGCCACCATGAACACTGATGGCCATTAGGATAATAAGGTGACACAATAAAACATATATTTCAGCAGCTCGACATGAGAGACCTATAGGGAGGGAAAGTGACCACCCAGCCATCCGTGCAAAAAGGCAACCATCTCATTTATGGCAATTAAGCTGTACGGAGACTGATGGAGCGCAGGGCCTGAGTCCTCACATCATCGGCAGCATTTGTCACATTTCATCCCCGCTGCCCTGAATGTCTCGTGGGGCCTCAGACAAGACATGTGTCATCAGAGGGCCAATTTAAGATGCCATGGGTGGCCTGTTGTTGTGACATGCAGCTAAATTGTAAGAGAGAGACTGGGGTGGAATCACTTTGTCACTCTCTGACTAGCATTAAAAGACTTGCCTGATCTAAATGTCTTGTCTAATGTAGTCTAAACCTGCATGGCTTAGTTTGTGTAGAGCAAGCACAAATACCAAATTATTGTAGATACATATGACGAATAAGGAAGAGCACTTGTGGTATTAAAAGTAATGATTTGTTTTGGTCGGCATTTTGGTCATCAATGCTGTTAATCACAAAATCATTCAATTTCGTGGACTGGCTGTGATGGAAAAAGTATATTTACTGGCCTGATTGATAAATCAATGTAATTGCAGCATAATCTGATTCAATACTGTGTGGATTCAATTTGAACTTCCCCATCACCTGGTGTTAATTTGCAGGCTACAAAAACACTTTAAGCACCACTTACTGATATCAAGCCAGTTGTTTTTATTTACACTATGAACATCCTAAATGTACTTATAATGATTAACCCTAAAAAGAGCAACGATATAGCACCAACATCAACGTTGCAGCCAACATAATATGGTCAAAGGTACACCAAAAAAGTCCCAGTTTCAAGGTGAAGGTGACAAATAAAGACAGTCAGAGACAAAGAAAACACACACAGAGATATGTTTTCAGGAATATAAATATCACTACACTATGATCACTTCAAGCATTAAGTCTTTTCTAAATGTATCAACTCACAAGACAAAACCTGCAAAAGAAAACTGGCCCTGTAATGTTCACTGAATTAAGTCGAGCAGGGAGACAGGAGTTGAAATCGTGTTAATAGCTGTCCAGAGTATAAGAGCCCGCCAAGGAAGCCTGCAATCACCCAAATACCCAGAGACAGGTCCTGGGTGCCCCGGGCGGCTCTTGCGCCCTTCCCCTCAGCGCCACCGACCCCACTGCGTGCCAAAGAGGCCCCACCAGCCCCTCTGAGCACGTTTAGACCCAGATCTTCATGTCAGACGCGTCTCATGCAAGAAAAGAAAAGTTGCCAACTCATTTTAGGAGGGCAACTCAGAGGGTGAGAGGCAACTGTGTGATTTTAAGATTTTTAGTATTTGTCTGTGGAAACAATTTACAGCCTATTTCTTTTTTTTTAAATCACAGCTTTTTTACATAAAGTGGCTTTTTTTGTCAATTAATCTTAAACGCCCACAACATAATTAGAAGCAAAAAGAAATGTTTTGAATAAGCATTTTAAATTATATTAATATATAATTATACATGTCGTAATTTAATTTTTTTCGTGCATTTACGTTATTAAATGTGTGAAATCAATGTGAAGATGTTTTAAAGCTGTGAAATGGTCGTTGAAATGAAGCAAACCGGGTCCAAGCATAGATATGTGTTTTAATTATAAAGACATATAAACAATATATGAAATCCATGTTGCAACACAACCGAAACGCTTCTTCGATGTATAGGCTGTAGTTATATTAGTAGAGCCGGGCTTGGAGCAAGTGATTTTTTTCCACAGTTGTACAATACAATCATGTGAGATGTGCAATAACTTAAAATAACAAAACAAACTTGTCAACACATCGTTTCAGGAAATATATCAGCCGACATCACATTTTCCCCACATAGCATCAGTACAGGCAGTCAAGGGAAGTCCTTTCATAATTGCTGTTATTAAATCTAGAAGTCGAGATCAGGTCGCATTTCTTGGCTTTTCCACTTGTCATGTTGTTGTTGTTGAATGTTGCATAGATTACAAATAGTAGCTGATAACTTAAGTAAAAATGTAACCAAATGTATAATTTGGACATGACCTGCAGTGTCTGTAAAGTACGACCGACAAAGTGACAGGGTTTTTAGATTTCATCTTATAAGAAGGCCTAAACTGTTTATTTTCTATGTAGCGTTTGTTAAATCTGGATGAAACATTGCAGTATAATTACTTAACCATACTTTAAGATTATGCATCAGACTAAACTTGTATTTTCCACAGAATGATTTAAAAATAACTAGAGTGGGAGAGAGACCGACATGGGTGCAGTAAAGGTAAAAGTTCAGGAAAGAGAATTTAAACCAAATCAAGGCTTGTCGTTACAGTGTTTGAAGAGACTCGACGGTGTCCCGGAATAAGTAGTGCACTTTTCGGCACAGGTGGCGAGTGCAGAGCCCGAGAACGGGTAGACGGCAGCCTGTCCAAAGGGCGCCAGGGCGGTGGGGATTGGTGAAGTTATGGTCTGTCCCTGGTTCAGATATGCCACCAGCCGCCTCATCTCCTCCAGAGCCTGAGCCTGCATGAGGATGTAGTTCTTGGCCAGGAGGAGAGTGGCTATTTTGGAGAGTTTTCTCACCGAGGGGCTGTGGGCGTAGGGGATAACAGAGCGCAGGCCGTCCAGCGCGTCGTTCAGATCATGCATCCTCCTCCTCTCTCGGGCGTTGATGCTGAGCCGCAGGGAGCGCTGCTCCTTGGACTTCTTGGCGAGGGGCCCCCCGGGCTTGTCATCCCCAAACGACGAGCCCCTCTTCCGGGACTCCAGCGAGTCGAAACCGTCCTCGTCATCGCTCGTGTGCTCCCCGCCGCTCTCGTTGGACTTCGCGGTCTGTCCGGAGAGGAAGTCGGTGGCCGGTGTGAGCGGGAACCGACCGGGACTTCCAGGACCATGGCCAGCGCCAAACCCGAAGGCTGATTGGCCGTAGCGCTGCGTCAGGTCGAGGAGCGCGTCGTTGCTGATGGACTTAAGCAGGTTCTCTTCGCTGACATTCATTTTCTCTTCCAGAGCAGATTCTGACCAGGAAAAGTCTACTCTTCCGTTTTTTTCTTTCTTTCTTTCTCTCCTATCCTATCTTTTTGTTTTTGAAAACCGAGGGGCTGTACTCACGTAGTTCTCTCCAAGAGTTGCTGTTTTCTAGGAGTTCCTCTCTTCCCTTCACTCCTTTTTCCCTCTGTCAGTGCAGTGACTCTTCAAGGAAGGAGGCTGTGAATCTGAAGCTGAGCCTCTACATGCATTCACCTCCTCTGTACACTGCGCTCCCCCCTTGTTGCGCGCATAGCCCACGTTCAACAACACTTCTCTAATTGTGCTCGGTGAGATCGGAGCGCTCGTGTCCCCCTTTCGTACGGTCGGTTTCCTCTCGCGCGTTTTTCTTGCCCTCCCTCGCCTTGGGCAGATTGTGACTCGCGCTCTGCCCCTGCTCGCAAGTTAGTAGGAGCACGAGGCCCGCCGGGATTATCTGGCCGTCCAATCAGGGGGGCGTTTTAATTAACTCGGGAAGAGCGCAAGTCTGCTCCCAGTTTCCATCATCATCAACGTGATAATTGCAGCGCAAACTGACACAGAGGCGTTACTGCATTGTCCACTATTGTATTACAACCTATTTAAACCTGTTTAACAAAACAAAAAAAACACTGATTGTGAGACATTTAGGTGAACTTGAAAAGGAGTTATTTTACGCATTGGATACCATGAGCTCAGTGCAAATCTTAATGCATCAGACTGGAAGGTGGATAAACAGCACTCACCTGTCTGAAGAAGATGTGGGTCTGAGAGATCAGGTAGAGGAGCAGACTTAAGGATGCTGTGAGGTTTGACCATGTGACCTCCAGGTTCTTCTTTCCTTGACTCTCTTTCTGATCCAGACTAAAATGTTTGCTTTGGATCTGTACATTTTTAAACTACTGTGACAGTGACAGACAATGCTGGGTGTTAGGCTATATCATTTCAGTAACACAGCCTGCTCTGGACAGATCCCAGAAACAATAAGCTCATAGAAGAAGTGCTCTATCCTGACCGCCATTCACCTTGCACGCTAGCAGAGTCAGCATTGGCACCAAATGTTCAGGGACAAGTTCCACTCAGTCACCTTTGCAGGTAATGTAGCATCTTACACTGGCCAGTCAGTGATTAGTGGAAGACAAATAGCTTAAATTTTGTCGGTGTATTCAATGAGTCATATCTCATGTACTGTATAAGCTGCTATTAATACATTTAAGACAAAATAATGTGCCTACAACTTATGGGCAAACTACAGACAAATATGCAGGCAACTCATTGCTGAATAAACCCTTAAAACAATGTTATAAGCTTAGGGTTATTGAAATGATTTGTAAGGATCCAAACCAGACGAAAGATGATCTGAAATAGCACACAAGTAATATGATAACAAATCTTTTTTTTTTTTTGCAAGTAAAAGGTCTCCTGAGGTTAAGAAACAGGTGTCCTAAGTATGAAAGTTAATAGTGAAGGTAAGGCTGCCACTCAGTGTCTAGTAAGGAGCATTACACTATGATTGGGCTTCATGTGTGATCAACTACAATCTACAGCTAGACTTCCCATATGGCTTCCTGCAGGCTGAGTGCTCTATGTTTTTATGCCACCTTGTGGAGAAGGAGGCTAAATAAATGTTATAATCCATTAGAGACCAATTTGGTGATAATGTTTGCAATGTTTTTTGCTGCTGTTGAGAAGTTTATTCCACTTTGTGTTCATCTTTGAGGGCTTCTGTAGCACTGAGTATGTTGTGTTAAAGTCTCCCCTCCATTAATAAATGTAGCCTACTTCACTTGGATGTTTGACCTTCACTGTGCAGAATGATGTATGTGCAGAGTTTGACACCAGAAGGTTATTTTCACATTAGCCTGTTGGAGGAAGAAAAGTTTCTCTGTGCTCGTCTCAAATCAGAGTTTAAGGCGTGTATTCACTACTAGCATGGAAGCTAATCATGATTCTATATGGAACTTATTCAAGTCTGATGTGGAAACCAGACTACTCAAGAAACTAACGAAAAACATATCTGACACTGTTTTTCAATCATTTATATAAAGTATGTCTTGAGGGAATTATGTAAATATCTTAATATCTTAAAAAGTGTCTTTTAGTCACTGTAGGTGAAAGCCTACTGTATGATCGCTACTCTTCTTTGATGCAACTTTTACGTTTTTTGATTATAATTTTTGAGATTTTTCATCGTTTCACATTACATGTTCACAACTACGACAGTACAGGTTTCCTCACATTGCCTCGAAACACCACTAATAGAATAATTAGTGATTAACAGACTTTTATTAAAACTGACACATTCTACTAACTCTATTTTTGCTTATAATGACTTCATTGTTTAGCTGTCACTGTCACTGGGATTTAAAGTAGTTGTTGCCTGAACTGTTAGTCAGAGACTCCACTGGAATCCGAATGTGATATTAATTATATACTTGTTATGCAAATACTCTGCATACATCATCATCATCAGACATCCTGGCCTGATCAGTGTATCGAGTTGTAAATCAGATTTACACTCTAAGAATGGTCAAGTGTTTGATTAATTACAATTATCAATGACAAATGTATTGATACATAATTGATTTGAATGTATTTAATATGATTTCTCTGTGGTTGTGTGTGTTAATCAGTGCTGAATACACTCAAGCAATGAATCAGACAGCAGAAAAACACTATTGATCGATCGACCACCCAAGACGAAGCAGCACAAAATGAAATCACAGAAAATCACATAAAACAGATAGGTGAAGACAAAGGTTTTAATTCATGCAAAGAACAATTGGTCAAAACAACCAACATGATGTAAAACCACACAAACAAATCTGGTGCCTAAGAAAAAAGACCTTCAGCAACATGACTAAAAACAGTCTCATTAAAAAAAACTAAATATAGAATATAAGCATGTGACATGAAAACTGAAATGTGTTTTGGACCGTTATTAATTAGACAACCTTCATTAAATAAAAAGTCAATAGGCCCTTTGTCACTGTAGACTGTAACTAATATGATTGAAACAGTGAGCCAGCATGCACAATACGAGGACCTTTTTCCCTTTATGAGACAGGACAGTTTGAGCAATTGACAAGAAAGGAGGGAAAGAGAGAGGGGATGACATGCAGCAAAGGGCCACAAATCAGATTCAAACTCACAGCCGCTGCAATAAGGGCTTGGCATATAGGGCACCAGCCCTACCAGGTGAGCCACAAGGATGCCCTACTGCAGTGTTAATTATATCATTCACACCTGTGCCTTTTTTTGTGACATGTCAACATCTCTTCAGTGAAAATTACTAAAAAAAACAGTAGAGCAGGAAACAATACAACACAGCATAACACATGGACAACAGAATGAAATGGTGTAGGTTGAAGCTTCAGCACTTTTTACAGTACTCAACCTCTGACTTTTGACGTCAACATGTAACATCAGAGAAAACTTTACAATATTGTCTGACTAAAAATACAACATGTTTAAAATTTTCAACCCACTGCAGCAACAGTTCTCTTTATTTACTATGTGATAGATTTTCTGTCTTGAATGCCCACAGGATAATGTACAATACTATGGCCAGCAGATGGCAGAAAAGCCCACGAGTTAGCAAATACATCAAACATATAACAGACAACACACTCTGTGTAAATCAGTCAATACCAAATTTAAAATTAGCTGAGGTCATTTTTTGATATTTATTTGAGTTCATTTAATTCAGTGGATATCTCGATTTTATACAATATTCATGTTAATACATCTATAGAATAACAAAAGCTTTTTGTGAACAAGATACAGACAAAAATAAAGCTTCAGTGTCTACACTATCCGAGTGTCTGTTTCTAAAAACACGGAATAATTTAAACTATTGACATACAGTAAGAAAGAGTATCCAGTTCAGGCATTAATGGCACAGTTTTAGTTCTCAGTCCATTGTGAGCACATCCCCTAGTGTTCATTTGACAGCACTACACATAATCGTCACCTTTTTTCCAGGAGGACTGAGCACTAAAAGCTTCTGATTCACAGAGAACGGAAGAAAACGCAAAAGTGTCAACCCACCAACTAATAATACATGATGCTTTTAAAGCCTGTGCTGCAGCTCCAAGTCGCCATGGCAACTGCAGGCTCAGCTGCCATACAATGGTGGCATACCACATTTGGCTGTGACTCTGTGTGCTGAGAGTGAAGCTTACATTTGCAGTGACAGAAGGGGACCACCATGGGGCAGAAAAGTATTTTCTATTGCTGAGGATATGGTGGCACTGTCATATTTGACAGAAACAATGCATGTGTGCACATACACAAATGTGTGTATAAAAACATGCATTCAGACGCCAGTAGTCGCAGGCATCCATACTGTACATGTGCTGTATTAATCTTGCAGTGTTAATGTTGCAGTTTGTACTGTGGATGCAGTGGAACAAGAGTATTTTGTAATGTGTTAAATGGTGATGATATTCCACCAGGTCTTGATTATTGATAATATGTTGTATATCAAGACCCAGCAGGATCCACACATGAGGGTTTTCTCTCCAGGCTGTCTCTCATATCCTAATTTTCAGCCCCACTCTCTCTGACTTTCGCCCCTTTCTCACACATACTCTCTCTCTCTCTCTCTCTCTCTCTCTCTCTCTCTCTCTCTCTCTCTCTCTCTCTCTCACACACACACACACACACAAACACACACACACACATATGCACACACATCAAAGTGCTGCTCTGAGTAAAGATGGAACAGGCTCCTTTGATCTCTCCCTGCCGGCTCTGATTAATGTGTGGATTTACAGTGCAGACCTACAGGGACCTGGCAGCCATGACACCCTTCTGCTGCACTGGAATCTAGTTTTCCTTGCAGCCAATAACAGCCCTTGATTTTATTCATTGCTCCAATCATGATGCTTTTCACATAGGCACTGACAAAAGAACTAAACAAACCCAAGCCTTACTTATTTATTCAACCTTAAGCACCCAACTCAAAGTCTCCGAAATCCCACCAGTCACAAATCACAGGACAGCATTCACTGTACCTGCCCAATCAGAGGGACTTCACAAAGTCTGCTTTGTAAAGCCTTTCACCCAATCCAAACCCTTCATCTTAGAAGAGACAGAAAGTTACATGAGATAGACGTGGATCGTTATTGTAAATGTTTAATTCAGCGAGTCTTGGCAGTCTTTTGCAATGGTGGGTACAGTGTTGGTGTTTGGTGGGAGGCTTGCTGACGACGATGAAACAAATGTTGGAAAAATTTTGCATTGAGCATCAAAGGAAATGTTTGCACGGCGCTCATTGCACAATGTATTTTGTGCATTGCACATCACACCTACACTTCATCACAAGCCAGGCCATAATAAGTAAACAATGTACCCACTCTTTAGTCTGTCTTTGCTCTTTTTACCCCAAACCTCTTTCCTTCATGTCTCCCACTCACTCCTCATGTTTTTCTTCCCATTTTGTCTTCCCTCACTGCAGTGCAATGCAGATTTTTCACAGGGTGGAGGTATGGTAGAGATAGGCGGGGTACCATGAATAATTGTTGAAGATATTTTTACTCTGACCCACTTTGGAGTCGCTTTCGCCCCCCTTAAAGGTGCCGCAGCCCTACTCTGTCTTAAGTCAACATAGGATGTTTAAATGAGTACCACAAATGCATGAACTAATTCACAGGTGACTGGTGTGGTCTGAGCTGCCGAATGAAGCTCTGCAGCGATCTAAGAAATATTTGACTTGTTTATAACCAGTATTATTACCGATCTACTTACCTGTAGTACCACATTGACCACTTTACAGCGTTATGCAAAGACATTTTGGACTTTACTTGATTAAAAAAAACAAAAACAAAGCTGACCCTTCAGTCTAACATTACTCCATACATAAGGAGTTGTAAAATGTAAAATGGAGGGGTTCAGTACATGTACGAGCTAATCTTTAAAAACTAATCCCCAAGCCGAACTGACTATATTGAATCAAGCACTGGGAAGTTCCAGTGTTGTGTTTCCTAAGGTCTGGACTTCTAAATATATTGAACTTTCAGGTTTTTGAGTATGAGGCATTGCACACCTGTCAGGCCACAAGAGTGCAGGGCACGCTAATAGGATGTGCCAGTTGTGAGTGGAACTGAAGCCATTACCTTTTCATTATCATTCCATAATATGAAACTGTAGGCTAATTCAAGCTGAAGTGTTTTACTTTTGTTATAATTACAA